GGGGAGTCATAGACTAGTGGGAGGGGCTTATCCTAAAATGGAAGACTCTTCCATGGTACCTTGGGGCTCACGATATGACGAGTCTGCACTTACCATACGGAAATGTTTAACCTAAAATGGCAATGAACCTTGTCTGATGGAGGCCAAAGGCAAAGCTCATTGGATGGGTGGATATGTGATCCTCCCCAGAAAGTGGTGGGGTTATGTAGTTAATACAGTTGGCCCATGCACCTATGTGATTTTCCACATTTACAAGGACATGATTTGTGACATCGTCACTAAGATAGGAGGGAAATATCAAATATGAACAAATAGAGATGGAATATAGATAAAAGTCCATTCTATGAAAGATAACATGAAACAATATTATGGTTGTGGACTAATTATTCATGCCTTTTATTAGAAATAGCACATGGACAATCCGCTAAATTGTTAGACGATAATAAATTGAAAGAACCCAACTATGCATATTGGTATTGTAACCTAAATCTAGTGCTTACGTCTGAGAAATTGGACAAAGTTGCCAAAAACCCAGCACCAGAATGTCTGGGTGTCAGGGCTTCTGAAGCACAAAGGAGGGAATATCAAGAATAAGAAAATAAAAACTCTTGCTCGATGTTATGTCATAGCCTCTTTGGACAATTCTATCCAGAGACAATTTTATAAAATTGATATCTGCAAACATATCCTAGATAGTCTAAAGACCATGTATGAGAAGCAAAATCGTTCTATAAGACAGAAAATCCTCAAACTGTTGATGACCACGAGGATGATCAAAAGCCAACAAGTTCATGACCATGTCATGGGGATGATAGGTTACATAAATGAATTGGAGGCTCTTGGCCCCCAACTTGACGATGACACCAAGACTTATGCCATCTTAAACTCTTTGTCCTTATCATTCAATCAGTTTGTCATGAATTACAACATGAACAAGTAAAATGTTAGTTTGCAAGAGCTCAACAATATGTTGCAAAGAGCTGAACAAATGATCTAATATGATACTTATATATGAAAACAAATCTAAAAATTACTTTATCTTAATCTTGATAATATCTTCAAACTTTCAATTAACATCATTTTCTTAGACTTATGAGACACTGAAATTTATATATTTGAAACCCTAACAACAGAAATCCTTAGGTAAAGATAGAAAACTGAATGTTCAAAACTCAAACTATCGAAATAAATGTTTTGACCCATATATTAGTGCTTCCAAATCTGCAATATTTAGTTATCCCATCTGTCTCTGATCATTTAAATGAAGAAGCTGACCCCCCTTTCATAGAGGGAAGGAGGGGCTTCAAGCATATACCAGAAAAAAAATGCCGTACCTGGTTTCTTACATCCAAAGATGCCAATTATATTTTTATATATGTTATAATTTTAAAATTGTCCTATGATTCTTGATAGTATTAATAATTAATTTTCATCCTTTTAAGTCAGTAAACCTTTATCTTTATTTATTTTTAGGACTTATTTTCTTCGGATAATGTAAAATTCTTGTATGTGTTTTTTTCTCATCTTTCATGTTTAACTAGCTCTGAGAATTCTTCTTTCAAACCCTTTGCACTTTGCTTTTTTTACTTCATTTTTTCCCTCAATTAGTTCTAACGTGGTTCATGTAACAATAATAATGATGATTTATATTGTAAAAGGTTAGATATAGATTCTGGGAATCTTAGGCATGTCAAGTTTACAAGGATTTAGACATAGAAATAAGGAATAAGTTTGTATTGGAAAATTACTTCTGACTTTTAATTGTTAAGATACTTATGTAGACTTCAGCTATATTTGCTTCTGCTACATTCACTGCCTTCACAAATTTACTTCCCTTTTGGATTACACACTATAATTCTTTTCATCTCTCCTAAATGTGACATTGGTTGATCCTCCCTCATACATGTTTAGTGTCATCTGGCAGACATGGATTCTGGGGTTAGTGATTGCAATTGTAAGTCATTACTGGGAATTTCAATGAAATAAGATTCAGCTTTTGCGCTTAAATTTGTTTATCCTTTGAATAATCAAGACTTAGGAGGAAAGACCCTAGTAAACAAAGTAGGGTTAGGAACATTTCTATTATCACCAATAGAAACCTTGAAACCAGAATTGTGAAGAGAAAAGGAAGTAATTTCAAAGTGTTTTTTTATCTTCTTGGATCAGTTGCTGGTAAATATTGTGTTCCAATTTCCAATTAGTCATCAAAGATTTGTTGCTAGGATACCTCTGCTATTCTTCTTACTATATGCTCAATAAAGTGAGTTTCAACTTGTCCATTTTCAAATGCCCAATGTTTGGCAAGCCTTTGTAGGAAATTAATATTGGTTGGCAAGCATGCAACCTGTAAATATTGCTAGAAATTAATATTGGAATTTAATTTAAAAACCTTAATGATACAAACATGACACCCCTGAAAATATCCAATAGTTTTTAGAATAAATGATTGTATGCTACACAGAAGAATCAAACCAATCAGAGGTGACAGATATTATATTTCACAAGACACCTAAATAACCCACCTAGTGGACTATAATCTTATTGTCTAATTTTGCATTCATCTTGTGTTTGACAGGTCTGAGTCTACTGGATTTATGTAGCAGTTGGGTAAGACAGAACTGACTTTATTCTCTTTGAAAGATTTAAGTTTATATTATTCATACTCTGATTATTGTCATTTTTATGTTCTAGGTGGGTCATTTTCCAGTAGAATACAAGCAAGATAGGGTAGTAGGTTTGGGTATGAATGAAGAAGAGCTTAAGTGCAATCCTGTATGTTAATCTTGATGCTTTTTTTTTCTCCGTGTTGTACATTTTATCTCTTCCCCCCATCCCCCCAAAAAATTCTGTTCTCTGGAGATTCAACTGAAAATTATTGATTGGCAGACCCAACACAAGCATCACCAATTTAATAATAATGAGGACGTTCCATTAGAGAATGTTCTAAGAGTCCAGCCAGAGCCATGATCCTCCTGAGGGTTCCAATGCTGTTCCTTTGGGATTAGGCTTGGGAGGTCTGCAACCAAAGGTGAGATGTCGTTCTTCAACTACAACTATTGAAAGGTAGAAAGATTACTACATCTTTCCACATAATACCTCTCAACATTGTGCACAATGTATCAACAAATTTTGGTGCTGGATTTTTCAATCCAGTCTATTATGTACCCTTTGCATGGAAGCTATGTCCTTGGGGTATTAAAGTCATTAATTGTATTCCCTTACAATCTTTAACCTAGATTTTACCTACTTGTTTTGAGATAGTTCTGGTTAATTAGTGTTTTTTCTTTTATTAGTGCCAATTTCCTTTACATTAGACTATGCAGATTGATAGGCATATGCATTGTAACTATGAAAGGGGCATGCTCCTGAGAATGATGGGTATTTGAAAATATGCATGGTGTTTACAATCTTAGTGCAGCTTCTGTCTTTGGAACATCTCATGCAACTCCTGTCAATGAGAACCAGAGTACAATTGCAGGCGGTCAACGGGTTTTGCAATAATCTCTCGTCTCAGAGCACCAATGCAAATAGAGTTGGTGCAAATGGACCCTCAGTGCAGCTGCCTTTTGTGCTTGGGCACATTATGGAGAGTTCGCCATTGCAAAGGCATGAGAGATTGGTTTACCTGCTGTCTTGAGGAATATGTTGGAGCAGTTGGCACAGAGCCCAACAATGAGGAATACACTCAACCAAATTGCCCAACAAGTCGAAAGCCAAGATATTGGCAACATGTTTTCAGGATTGGGAAGTGGCCAAGGTGGTGGTATGGGTTTATCTAGGATGATTCAACATATGATGCCAATTGTATCTCAAACGCTTATAAGGGGATCGACTCAACATGATACATTCTACTCGTCACAGCTTGAAAGTCAGCAACAGCATAGTTAGAGTAGGCCAGGGAAAGAAGACAAACTTGATTCTCAAGTTTGTCTACAATAAATTTTCTTCTTCCTATTTAACTAGGACATGGCTATCATGTGTACTTTTGCAAGAACCCCTTTTAACATGGTCCTTGAGTCCTGGATTTGTTTTACCGTTTCCTATTATTTTTATTAACTTGTAAATTGATTCATTTCCTTGTCTAGAATCTTCTGCAACGAAATTACTTGATAAACAGGTTAATTGCACAAATCATGATTCTTGATTTGAATTCCAAGATTCACTTTCTTTATTCCATTCCTATCCATGAGATGAACCCACCATCCCCCAATATAATTTCAAAAAACCCATTGAGGGAAAAAAAGTTGTTATGGGCCTGCAAATAGGATCTCATCACGGGTCGGTCCACAGGGAAAACCTCCTGTTTTCCCTTGTTCCTCCCTTTTCTTGAGGAATCTATCTTGGTGCCTTAATGGTGATTTGTTCAAGAGATCACCAACTCTCCTCTGCTCTTTCCTGACTGAAAATTTTGATCCCTTTATTGAATATCATCAACTCCTTAAATGGGAGATTGCAAGAAGATAAGAGTCTTATTTTTAGGAAGACTCCTTGCTAATTAGGAGCACTCCCTAATAATCTATCCTACTGAACTGATAAGATAAGATAAGACTCCCTACTAATCCATACTACTGAACTGATAAGATAAGATAAGACTCCCTACTAATCCATACTACTGAAAACAATACTGAACAGATAAGATAAGAATTGTATCTAGCTAGAATTAGATAAGATGAGAATCAGCAAATCTTGCTCCCTTTACTGCTGCTGCCGACGGCGATATTTCTTCCCAATAAAAGCGTCCACATCATTGCTCCCCTCTTGGACTAAGAGCTTGTCCTCAAGCTCGAACCCGGGATATGTGTCTTGAAACTCAGTCAAAGAAATCCCGAATAAGTGGAATGATTTTGCCCTCCTGGATCGGGTTCCAATGAAGAGGGTTCATCCTCAGACAGCTACAGTGAGATACCAAGATTTGACCATGCGTAGCTGCATTCTTTGCCGCGGGCAACTACAGCCTTAAGGATCTTCTGAGATGTCTTGAACCGTAGAGTACAAAGATTGTGAAGGCCAAGCTAGTGTCACTGAACTGCATCATCTGGATCCTCTTCTATTGCCTGCTTTAGTGTGTACAGAGCTCGCTCTTCCACTTCCGTCAAATCATTATGTCCARTTYCAAACRTTGCTGCARWTTCATGYTRAGCCTTGTGAACCATGGCAAGTCCTGCCCATGCTATCCGAAGCTCAATTGTTGCAGAGTCCCCTTCTCTGAGTATTGAAGCCATTTCATTCGCAGCCCATGAAAGTTGTTCAGTGGGATCTTGAGACATTTCTGCATCCTTGATACGATGAAGCACAACAGCAGATCGAGTTGACATGCAATTAGGCTCCAGTTTTGCTGCCTTCTCCAGACACTTTCCAGCACTTCTATGATCACCAGCCAAATAGTATGCATTAGCAAGATTCGCCCAGATATGTGTAGCCCTAGGATTTGATCTGACTACAGCTAACAAACACTCTTTTGCAATATTTGCAGCCGCAACATGAGGCATACAAGCTCCTTCACCAGCACTTGCCCCAGCACCTGCAACAACTGAACCATATTTACACAAAAGAAGAGATGCGTAATTGATTAGGGCCGCAGGATGGTTTTGATCTTTTAGAACCAAATCTTGAAAACATTTCATTGACAACTCCAAGCTACCACTTTGAAGATAAGCAATCCCAAGATTTGCAAGGGAGTCCAAGTGGTCAGGAGCAATAGACAACAAAGAGGATAAAACCGATATAGCACTCTGTAGACAGCCGGTTCTAATAAGTAATAAACCAAGTGTATTCTAGACAGATGCTTGTCTAATATCTGACTACACTGACTCCTTCAACTTGGAAATAATTTCTCCAAGTTCTTCATGCGTAAGTTCTTTATCGGCACAATGATCAATTGTACTTCCTAGCAGGAGGCACTGTGCATGATGAATTTGAACCAAAGAAAGTAACTCAGGCCTGTCAATCTCTTCCTCACTCCGAAGTAATATTTTTGCTGCCTTTTCATATGCTGACACTGCCTTTTGTGGCTGACCCAACCTCTGATACATTAGGCCAAGTATAAAATGTGCATGGCCATTTTTAGGCATCTTCCTTGCAACATGAAGCAAACCAGTTTTAAGGTTACTAACATTTTCCTCACGGGATGCTAGAGCCCCTTGACAGTGTTGATCGGAATCCGTATCAGGCCCACATTCAAGAGAACATTTGCCCTTGTTAATTCTTGAACGACACTTCCCCAGTTTATTTAACCGTTTAGCTTCTCCTTCTGTGGCATCAACCACAGCGTCTTTACATACTGAGGTACTTTTCTCCCCACAATTTTCTTCCTTAATGCTCCTGGTGGAATCAGGAGAATCGATGGAGGCATAGTCATCATCGTCGCTTTCGGGAGGGTCGACGTTGAGGTTAGCGATGACGACCTTGGAGTAGGTGCTCTTATTCTTCTTTGAACTCTCATCGATGGAATCCTCGACGGCATCGGATCCCTACTTAATCGAGACATTCTGGGTGTTGCTAACCTGCGCTAGGGCAACGACCTGCTACTCGTCGGACGATTCTGCCATGTCTGGTCGGCGGCCGGTTGTGGTTGCAGCCCCTTCCGGGTTCCTTTCCTTGCTGGAAAAGTACAACTCCATCAAGCGCCTTAATTCTCGGACGTCGTCCTTGATCTCGCGCACCTCCATGCTATTTTCCATGATCTTGAGCTCCAGGTCCTAAATCTTAGTCTTCAACTGCTCAAGGTCACCCATGACGCCTGGCTCTGATACCAAATTGTTATGGGCCCACGAATAGGATCTCGTCACAGGTCGGTCCACGGGGAAAACCTCATGTTTTCCCTTGTTCCTCCCTTTTCTTGAGGAACCTATCTTGGCGCCTTAATGGTGATTTGTTCAAGAGATTATCAACTCTCCTCTGCTCTTTCTTGACTGAAAATTTCGATCCCTTTATTGAATATCATCAACTCCTTAAATAGGAGATTACAAGAAGATAAGAGTCCTATTTTTAGGAAATCTCCTTGCTAATTAGGAACACTCCCTAATAATCTATCCTACTAAACCGATAAGATAAGATAAGACTCCCTACTAATCCATACTACTAAACTGATAAGATAAGATAAGACTCCCTACTAATCCATACTACTGAAAACAATATTAAACAGATAAGATAAGAACTGTATCTAGCTAGAATTAGATAAGATGAGAATCAGCAAATCTTGCTCCCTTTACTACTGCTGCCGGCGGCGATATTTCTTCCCAATAAAAGCATCCACATCAAAAGTGACCTAGGATTCGTTGTACATGTTTTTTTTCTCTTTCTTTAATTTTGAGGATTTTAGCATAAAGAAGCATATATTAATGAAGATCAATAAAATAATTTGCTTTGTCCCTTTTTGCGCTACCTCTACAACTGTGTCATTGTTGGACAATGTGTTTCTGCATATTAAATGCTTGCCTGTTAGAACCAATTTATCTAATACTGAATTTGGAAGTGCTTTTAACTTTGTTTTATTCTTCGGGTTGGCATTCAGCAAACTGTTGATAGGATTGAACACCATGATCTCCCTAGTGACATTTTTCGATCTATGGTTGAAACTGCTACTCTATTGTACAGTGATGGAAACGACTATGAAGATCTTGAAGAATTATATAGTGATGAATCTCTTGCAAATGTACGTACTTAAGACATTAACTCAAATAATTTTCCGAAAGTATTCGGTACTACTTGAATACAAAATTTCTTCTGCCTTTGCAGGAATACATCCAAATGCTACGTCGTGATATATGTTCGCGTCTCTAGGGTGATTCTGGGCCCACAAACAAGTCTTAACTTTTAGCTTTCTGCATGTGACATGGGTTGGTATGGTATCCGCTGTTTTGTATGAATTGGGTTATGGCCATCTTATGCGGCAATTCTACAAATCCAATGCACATCTGTCCTTATATCCAAATGTCATGTAAAAATTAGGCCAGGTTTTGAAGTGAATTTATATCCAGTTGAAAACTATTTGTGGATTTAATGTATCCTTTCGATGGAGCGTATCAATTTTCAATGACTGAATACTGCACACTTCTCTTTGAGTCTTGAAATGCAAAATTCATTGTATTCACACTTGAAAAACCTTTTGAAACATTTAGCTAAGAAATTATGGATAATGGTTTTGCATATTTTAATGTGAGTTGGGTCATTTCATTTATTTTAATGTGACCAAGGTGTTTTATGATGCAACTGATGCAATCATTCCAGAGACTTGAAAAACGACATTTCATATTTTCATCGAGCATAGTGGAAAGCCATTTCTCTGAACCATGGTTTGAAGTATTGAAACATCCAAATGTATCGAAAGGGATGTATCTGCAAATTGGTATCAGATGCAAGAAAAGCAAAAAGAAATGAACGGAAAAGTACGGGGACAGGTTCAATGCAGATTTGAATGCCACTGTAGATTTATAAACATTCAAAATGTCAAAAACTTTTATTTTATCCACCAATGCCCATTCATGAATTGGCATTAATTCTGAATTGGCACTTACACCAATTATATTTTGGGCCTAAAAATTTTGACCCTGGGCTGAATTGTTATTCTCCCAAAAATGAATCGTGTGTTATAGATTAGATGATGTATAATTTATAATACAATATAATCGACTTAGGCAAGTTGGACCCAATGGGCCAGCTTTGAAGGTGGAAGAATTTTACAACTATTTAATAGATGGTTTATATGAAGCAAATTAGAAAAAATTAAAAATATATATATATATATAAGTTATATGAAAAAATGTATAGATTGTTATTAAAGATGTCCTTGACGGCCACTAAAAATCACACGTTGGACTTTTAGTGGCAATCATGATTTCTGCTAAAAAGTTTTAGCGGCAGTTTTTATTTGTACTGGCAGCCATGAAAACTACCGCTATAAATTCTAGCGGCAGTTTGCTGGCTGCCAATAAAGTCTCTAGCGGTAGTTTTAGGGATCTCTGGCTGCCGTAAAAATTATTTTTCTTATAGTGTACACTATTCTGTTGCGAAGTAGGAGAACATGAACTTTGGTAAATTGCTCCCTTTCTTTCAAGGAATAATTGCATATGTTTTTCAAAATACACCTTAGCATTGTTAGACCTTAATATATTGATGTGCCTTTGAAATTGTATTTTCATCGTCTTGAAGAACTTTTAAACAATGGAAGGGACCTCATATTTACTCTTCATTTGGTAAAGCCAAGTATATCTAAAGTAATCATTAATGAACAATATAAAATATTTATAGCTGTCCATACATAAAATAGATATGTATGTCCTCCAAACATCAATGTGTATCAAGTTGAAAGCAACATCATTCCTATTACTTGTAGGATATATAATTCTACATTGTTTTGAAAGATGATAAACTTCACAATATGCATACCCAAATTAGACCTAGATTGACTTAAGTTTGGAAACAAAAATTTAATAGACTTAAAAGACACATGACCAAGGTGACAATGCCACAACTTCAAAAGATTCAAATTTTCATCTTGACATTACTCAGTCTGGCACAGTAATCCTTGCTCGGAGGTTTGATAAAAAAGGTAAAATCCATCAGTTTCATTTCCAGTTTCAATCATCCTCCATGTTCTCATGTCCTGAAAAACACAATAAGAAGGGAAAAAGGTCATTGAACAATTATGGGATTTGGTAAGAGTGCTAACAGATAAAAGATTCGTGTACAATTGGGGAACATGAAGGATAAATCTTAGGAAAAGATCACGAGTGAGCTTAATCTCCCCCAAACCAGAGATAGGGTTTGATCAAAAAGTTAAACTCCATCAACTTCATTTCTAGTTTCAATCGTCCTCCCTGTTCTCATGTACTAAAATACACAATGAGAAGGGGAAAAGGTCATTGAACAATTATGGGATTTGGTAAGAGTGTTAACAAATAAAAGATTCTTGTACAATTGGGGAACATGAAGGATAAAGTTTAGGGAAAGATCATGAGTGAGCTTAACCTCCCCCAAACCAGATATAGGGTTTGATAAAAAAGGTAAACTCTATCAACTTCATTTCTAGTTTCAATCGTCCTCCTTGTTCTCATGTACTAAAAAACACAATGAGAAGGGAAAAAGGTCATTGAACAATTATGGGATTTGGTAAGAGTGTTAACAAATAAAAGATTCTTGTGCAATTGGGGAACATGAAGGATAAAGCTTAGGGAAAGATCAAGAGTGAACTTAACCTCCCCCAAACCAGAGATAGGGGTTTGAGATCCATCTACTACAATGGTTTTTCCTTCCCCTAGAGCCAACTTACAAGAGGTGAAGTGGGAAAGCATACCAATCATATGTGCACAAGTTCTAGAGTCCACAATCTAGGAGCTAAAATGGAAAAGATTGACAAGTAAGTGCAATACCTATTTTCACAAAAGGTAGTGGAAGGATTACTAAAACTAGTAGAGGTAGAGGGCCCAGACTTCTCAAGCTAAGTCAACAGAATCCTGAGCTTCTCCATTACATCCAATAGTAGCAAGATGAGCATTACCCTTCTTTGTAGTTTTAAATTAGCCAGGCTTCAAATGTGGGTTCAATTTCCAACACCCGTCCTTCGTATGTCTTGGCCACTTGTAGTAATCACATACCACGTCATCATGCTTTTCATTAGTACCTTGTCTATTTGTACTCAGCTTGGCCCTTGAAGACATGTAGGTAGAATGATCCATCACTGGGGTCTACATCATAGAAACCTTTCTACTCTCCTCTCCCTACACTAAAGAGTATGCATTAGCAAGGGAAACAATACCCACACTCAAAATATATTGTCGAGTAAAATCATACTCACCATTCAATCCAAGTAATAAGTCAAACACTCAGTTCTTCTCAACATACTTCTAATATTGTTCAGTGTCCTTAGGGTTCTTCTATTCCAAGTTCTCCAAATGGTCCATTTCCTCCCATAGAGGCCACAAAGAAGAGAAGTACATTGCTACAGTCCCCTCCCCTTGGTGCATATTACAAGCTTCTCTTCGGGGTTGGTAGACTCGAGCTATATTTTTTGCTTGGAAGTATGTGGTTGAAATATGATCCCAAATATCCTTGGAAGTGAAGAGGAATATATAATTATAGGTAATATGTAGTTGCATTGAACACACCAACCATGACAAAACCAAAGAATTATCTTATTCCCATATAGCAAGTTTGAGGTTACTACCTTTTAGCTTATTTCTACCAATAATAAATCCCAGCTTACCCCTACCTTCAATAGTAAGCTTGGCTAATTGAGACCATTCTAGGAAGTTGGTTCCATCAAGTTTTACAGTGGTTATCATACCATTGGAGACATCGACATTACCTGAAAGCATTTCGGAAACAGTTTGTAACTTCTTAGGCACATACTTTGGAGTTGGGTCGGCCTTCAAACAGTCCTACAACACTCCAACAACCAAGCAACACACACAAGACCCACAAAATATGGGAAACACTTGGCTAGAATCCAATTGGAGGCCCAAAACTGAACTGGTGGTTTTATATAAGGGAAAAAAAGACCTCCGAAGAAAGATTAGAGGTTATAAAAATGTGGAACCACTTCCCATACCTTTAGTGATGCCAAATAAATCAAAACCAACAAGGAGGAAAAATTCCAAACATCGAACCTGTGTTTTACTATAACTTTTTACTATAAAATCCAGAAAAAATCATAAACACATCAGATGAAGATAAGAACCAT